GGCTCTAAGGTACTCTTATCCTCCATTAAAGGCTGTATTTTGGGGTACCATTACTTTCTTTTGTACTCCCTACCACGTTTTGGGAAGAGAGGAGGTATTCAAATTCAACTTGTCTTTCACTAATCAATAAGAATTCTGACATGAAACCACGTAAGAGCCTGTTCTAAGCACCTCCTTTCACCCACTGTAATTGAAATAGCAAATCTTACACACTTACAGGACAATCACAGCATCAAGTCTAATTTGTACCTTTTCCAAAAGAAAGGTTTTAACTCATTCAAGTGAAAGGAAATCTCAGATTCCTAACATTTCTCACCCAGTTGTATGAAGGCAAATTGAGTTTTGCCCATTCAAAAGAACAGGTTAAAGACTGACATTTGAAAAACAGTGAAAAAACGCAGTGTGATCTCTCACTGCTGCCATCTACCACAGCTCTTCCATTCATCCAGGTTTCCCTACAGCATTGCACCAGACACTACACTTGTAAGGGGGCAGGAAAGAAACCTTGAACAAAATGCAGGATCACAACCCTGGACCTACAGAACAGAATTTGCCTTGCACAGGGAATCTGCTCAGTAGATGCCCATGGGAGATCATCCTAGAGGGAAGGAGGGACCTGGAGATCTGGTTGATGTTCAAGAACCATTTCCTCCAGGCTCAAAAATGGTCCATCCCAACACACAAAGTCAAGCAGAGGTGGCAGGAGAGCTGGATGCATGAACAAGGAGCTCTCCACTAAACTTAGACATGAAAAAGAAGTGTACAAGAGATGGAAGCAAGAGCAGGGGACCTAGGGGGATTATAGATGCACTACCAAAGCATGCACAGATGGAGTTAGGAAAACCAAAGCGCAAACAAAGTGGAATCTGGCAAGGCAGGTGAAGGGCAACAAGAAAAGCTTTAGCAGAGATATCATCAGCAACAGGAAGACTAGGGAAAGATAGGGGTCCACAGTGAATGGTGCAGAGGACCTGCTGACAGGAGATATGGAGAAGGCCGAGGTACTCACTGCCACCCTTGCTTCTGTTGTTACCAGCAAGAGCAGCCCTCAGGAATCCCAGAATTCTGAGCACAGAAAATTGCCTCCATCGCCAGGCTCAAAGGGCTGTGACCAGCGGCACAAAGCCCAGCTGGAGACCTGGCATTACTGCTGTACACCAGGGGTCAATACCTGGACCAGCATGGTTTAACATCTTCATTAATGAAGATGGGTGATGGGACAGAGCTCACCCTCAGCATATTTGCAGATAACACAAAACCAGGAGGAGAGCCTGGTACCCCACAGGGGTGCTGCCATTCACAGGGACATCAACAGGCAGGACACATGAGCCAACACACGAATCTCAGGAAGTTTAAAGGGCAACGCCAAGTCCTGGCCCTGGGGACAAACCACCCCAGGCACCAGCGCACACACAGGGGCCAGACAGCTGGAAAGCAGCTTTGCAGAAAAAGCCCTGGGCATCTTCAGGAAAAAGGGGAACGTGAGCCAGCCCACACACACCCTTGTGGCAATGATGGCCAACAGCCCCCAGATCACCAGCAGGTCACAGAAACATTGTGAAGATTGCTGGATAGAATATCTAATAATAAAGGCACATTGCAGATAATGGCTGTGTATCAAACCACATATTAAGACCATCAAAACTACCAAGTTGCCCAAGTTGTGCTACATCACTGACAGGACAGTCATCTACTTCTGCCACCAACCAGTTTACAACTCATCTGCTTGAACCTACCTTTCACCTGTCAGTCAGTGTTTCTCAGCCAAGTGGTTTATGCGTGGTGTCTTACCTGACAGGGCTGCATTTACAGAGCCTATGCTCCGTAAAATGGGTATTCAGCATATTTTAAGTAATACAGTCAACCTTACTATGACTTCTAGATGTATATAATGAAAACTGAACAAATATGTTGCTGTCTAATGTGCATTTCAGCAAAGCCTGTGAAGAAGAGGCAGAATTTTCTGCTGTACAAAGTATTTACAAAAGCATACAACTTCAAAAAACCAAACCAGTTTATTTTGCTGCCCAAATTATTAAACACTAAACAAGACAAACTTGTAGTTTATACATTAGGAATGTGAGTTTTCACGTACAGTTAAGAAAACACTTCACTGTAAGAAGGCGAAATACTGCATCACTGGAATAGAACAGTGTCACGCAACAAACTGAAGAATGAGAAAGTGTGGCACATTCATTTAAACTCAGGCTCTCAGGTGAAAACAAACATCTATAGACAGATGCAGCTATTCCACAGACTGGTGAATATTAAGAAACATACACATCTAGTCTTAGAAGTAGAATTATACAAATACAAAAGGTAATATATTACACACCTATATACAGCACTGTAAGCCTCAAACATTGACAAAAGATATCAGACGTAATAATTAAGTTAGAAATTTCTAGAATCCTCACAGAAATCAGAGACCTCCTTAGAGAGAAGTGTAGCTAAAATAGCTATATATTTCTCTACCTGTCAAATCTGTCAGGTATTCAAGGCAATTCAAGGACATTTCACTCCCTTCAGAAAAGTCATTGCAGCTCTACAGCAAGTGGTTAGAGGCCATATGCTTTTTGCACAAATGTTACAGATTCTTACAACAAAAATAATTCTTCTCAGCTTCAACAGTTTTGAAAGTGTTGCTGCTCAAAGCCATCACTGGAAACAGTGCCCTTTGATGTAAAACAGTAAGGTCAGTTACAAACATCAGCATTAAAACAACTTCTCTTATTATAATTTGAGATGTTTCACTCCTGCGTAACATTTTTCCTGCAGAATGGTGCAGCCATGTATGAAGTTTGGAGTGTATTCATCAGAACTACCCACTCCTGGGTAGACTGCAGTATGGGATGGCTTAATAGGTTTTCCTTACACTAATAGAAGACATCTATTTCTTCAATATACATTTTTCATTCATCAGCCTAAAGTGATCAGATAATGCTCAAAACCCAAGATCTTGACAATTTTAGAAATACTATGGAAGAATTAATATATCTGCTTCCTGCCCTACTCCCCCCGCCTCTGCCCCCCAATCCTGCACCGTGGATATTTGGACAACAAATAATTCTGCTCTCCCTCTCCCCTATCCTGCCTTTTTTTCTTTCCCCCCATTTTTAAGAAAAGAAAGAAGAGCAACTGAAAGTTTTATTACTCACATGAGGAAAGAAATTCTTTAGACTCAATCAGTATCAAGGTATGATGTCAGTTCACAAAACCCATGCTCATTGTGTAAGTTGCTCCAGAGACAAATACATATGCATTTATATAAAGCCACATATGTATAGAAACAGCAGCCTTTAGTACCAAAAACCTTTCCTTCTATCATTTTCTCAAAAAGGTATGAAACTTAATGTAATTTCAGTTGTACCAATATAAGCCTATGTCTTGGGTTCAAGCCAGAGCACAGTTAGAATAATTAGCTGGATAAAATAAAAGGATAAACTAACTTTACTTTAACACTGTTTGACTTATAATGTTTACAATACTGGTAGCTACGTTACATATGTATATTTTATGGCATTTTAGATCCTTTGAAATTCTAATTATTTATAGCTAAAGTGACTAAATCTTCCCAGTATAATAAACATCTTCTATACCAACATCCAGCTTGAAAGAGCATCTACTGCGGAAATAACAATCAATCAATCATGAACTAAATGAAACAAAACAAAACCAGTAGAATTACTTAAAAATTCTAGTCCCTTAACACTAACTCACAACTAATACCATCACAACAAACATTTGTCACTTGCAATTTAATTTATCTATTCTAGTTTATGTTTCAATTTAAATTACTGTAAAGTTTTCCAAAGTATTCTTAAATGCTACATTGCATGAGCAGATCAGGAGGCAGCTCTAAGTTCTGCAGGTTATTTCTTCATAACATCTAGAACAAATTTCAAGGATAGGAAAACATTTACATTCAAGTATCGGTAGTGCTAGCCAGTGTCTGCTATCAGCTGCCTAAAACCCTTCTACTGCTTGTGGTCATGCATGCTCCAGCAGCCATATGTATTAGTCAATCTGAAACAACTGTGCTGTCTAATGTGTACTGCAGAAAAACCTGTAAAAAAGAGGCAAAATTTTGTGCTGTACAAAGTATTTACAAAAATGTACAACTTTATTTCACTGGCCAAAGTATTATACACTAAACAGGACAAACTTGTAGTTTATACATTAGGAATGTGAGTTTTCATGTACAATTAAGAAAACACTTCACTGTAAAAAGGTGAAATACTCATTACTGGAATAGAACAGTGTCACACAACAAACTGAAGAATGAGAAAGTGTGGCACATTCATTTAAACTCAGGCTCTCGGGTGAAGACAAGTATGTATAGACAGATGCATCTATTCCACAGACTTTGGTAAATATTAAGAAACATACACATCTAGTCTGCAGTCTTAGAAGTAGACTTATACAACTTACTTGACCCTATCAACTATGTCTCCCCATCTCTTTTTATTAATTAACCAGCTTATTAATTGCTATACACCTGAATAACATTAGCTGCTTACAAGTTACCTGTGCTTCAGTTTAAGTCAAAAAGGGATAGCTAAACTTATCTCCAGGCAAACAGGAAAGCCTACCAGAATTTTAGTGTTTGTTTTGTTACAAGGTTCTTGACAATAAGTGATCACTAGGTGCAGAAACCTGGACAGTTGGGAATGACCGTGCCTTAGATCTTCACCCTATTTCTCCACTCGTAATAATATATTGCCTGTTTATCAGCTAATCACTGCTACTGGATTGGTTTTGTCAGCTATTGCTTCTCCAAATTTCTGCAAAAGAAGTTTTAATGTCCATTTTTAATTAAAATCTTAATGTTATAAAAGTTGGTATCAAACAAAGTCACCAAACTAACTGAAGGTTGAAGGTTAGGTAACTTTGAACAGGCTGCTGTTCTAGAATTTCGCACTAGAAAAATAATAGATATAAAAGACTAGGAATTACAGTGCTAGTTATATTTAGATTATAATGTCCCTTTGTGCTTGCAAATTACTGAAAGTATGCATCCTTTGGTAGTATTCTCAAGATAAGAAGTTCATGTTAAACACATTCACACTCCTGATTTGCTTGAGTCAGTGCAAAGGGCTCATACCTTATCTCCTATGTAACATTGTTACAGAAGCACATCTCTTCCCCATAAATAATAAAAATACTGATGACAGCGACTTTTCAGTGAGTAGTTTTGTGCCTGATATTTAAGAATCTGAAAGACAGACAGAGTCTGTCACACAACTTGTAAGTCTAAAGAGTGACTACTACAGCAGCTGACAAGAACTCCCATCCACAAATACTGCTGCTGTATGACTTTTGGCCCAGTTTCAAAAGACATATAGAAAAACCAAAATGCATCTGTAATTCAGACTCATATAGGCATAAAGAAGTATGAACATTGCAATGTGTACTAACTAACATTACAAAACCACCATACAGCAAACACTGAACTGATGCTTCTAGTTTTAACCTTACATGTAAGCACAGCTTTCTCATGACTAACATAAAAGAATGTTTGTTCTAACAAAGCCGTTCCAAGATTTCATGCCCATACTGCGAGACTCCTCTTATAAAGTAAAACAAGTACTTGCAGTTTTGCCTATGCCAAGTGGTAGTCAAAAAGTAGAGTCTGGGAAAGAGGCTCTACTTGTTCCCGTACTGTGCATTTGTAAAAAGCCACATATCTGGGTCAGTGGCTAAACAACCTATCAATGCTTGTTAAATTGGTGAAGCTGTAAACTTCACATGAAGCTGTAAGCAATCAGGTGTATAAATACAGCAAGTCAAAGAGGAACTTCCCAAGCTATTAGAAGTTGATGCAAAATAATTACAACTGTTGTCTATTTACTGTTACTATCAAACGTGAGCCAAATAAGAATTTATGGGCTTGAGGTTTACAAAAGTAATGTATAACATATCAAGGAGCTTAATGTACCAATGTACCAATATCAGCATAAACCCTCAATATTTTATTTTTCATACTTGCCAATTTAATATCAATCTGTTGACAAAGTTATGCTAATACTAGGAGGTCGCTGCTGATTAGGTTGTTTGCTTAAAATTGGAAGATCTGTTCTTTCTGTTCCATATATCAGTTTTTCTTCCTGAAGACTGCAAGCTGAAAACCTGTTTGCCTCTGTACCGGATATACCACCACGATTATTTGGAACTGTGACACCACTGACCTGTTCAAAGGATTTACTAAACACAGTAGTGGTCGTTCTGGCCAGACCATGGCTGCCTGGCTTAGGCAGGGACTGGCTAGTTGTCAGTGTTAGTCTCTTCAGAGAGACAAGCTCTAGATTCTCACTCATGGCTCTCTGAGTTTGTTTTCGTGACAAGTGTTCTCTGCAGGTTTCTCCTTCTTTTTCTTTTCCTCCAGCTTTGGTTCCTCCAGACCTTCGTTGGCTCTTCCCTAAAAGGTTCTTACTGCTCATGTTGCTGCTGTTAGATAGGGCAGACTGACTTGTACTAGAGGTAGCCCTAGAGTAAAAACCTTCATCAGTTTCAGATACTTCTATCAGTTCTTCTTGAATTGCTAAATCAGTATTACCTGCATGGTAGAAAAAGAAATAAAGAATTAGCAATTTCCTTTCTCACATTTATTGATTTTATGTATTGCTAGATTTTGATATTTACAAGCATGAAGCCATACAGCAACAGAACAGAGAACAGAAGACAAAACACTTACCTATTCCATTACATTTTGGAATTAAGGGTCATTAGGATACAAAGTTACAGCAAATAATGCTGCATTAACTAGATCAAAAAGCATGCCCACAATCTCATTTTGCAGTAATTTTGGGGAAAAAAAAAAATGCAGTCTTGTTAATTCATGCAGATTAGAAATTTACAGATTAGAAGGTACCACACAGAACAAAAAAAGCGTAAATCTTATTTTGAGCGAGTGCTCCAATACATGATTTTGCAAAGCTCATTAATTATAAAGGTATGTGATCAATGCCCCAGGACACCCAATACGGCACCTGCACGTTTAGCAACCCAAGAATGCCTTAGGACTGAAAGGTCACCTTCTGCATCACAGGTCTGGTGGTATGAGAAGGAAACTCAAGCACAACATGAGATCTCCAGTATACTGTGAAAGGTGGAATTTGGAAAATCTGAGGTACACAGCGAGATACCTTTCACATCCATTTTGATGGATTCTTCATACCATTGATCACCAGATTTTGTAAACCCAATAAATATGCTTAATAAACTCAAAGGTATGTTGAGTCTCACAGTGTATTTTCTGCAGATTAAATAAATCTACTTATGTCATCATTGTCTGTGGCACAGACGAAGCTGTGTGCAACACATGCATTTGTGTTATTACACATGCAAATATATTAACTGCATACTTTAATTCTCCAAACATGCAGCAGTGATCCTTTCAATCAACAGTGGTACCTTAGAGTGCAGCTACAAGTGCTCTGCTAAAACTGCACTCTGCCAGATGAGTTTATTCCATCCTCCATCATTTTTCTTACAGATTTTTGCCTCCTGATTTCTGGCATGCCTTTGCTGTCAGTTCTAGGATCTGTAGCTGTTTCCTGTACTCCCTGTAAATGCTGAACATCATTCTCTGCTAGTGCTCTGCTTTTTTCCCCATTCCCGGTCCTCTCTCCAGCCACACTTGTGACACTAATCTCAGGTATGATAAAGTTGCCCAATTCAGTAGCATCATTACCATTCTCTGGTTGTTCTAGAATTAAAGATGGATAAGAAAAAAAAAAAAAAACAACAAAAGATGTCTGAAACAAAACATGAAACAAAAGCCAATAGATACAGATGACTAAAGCATTATAAATTAAAGCAGATGTTCACATATTAACCTCTTGTTAATTAGCAAAATTAGTGAGTATGGAATTTTGCTTTATTTCTAAATTGCAGGCTTCAATCTTCCAATTACTGGCCTGCATCCACATACTGGAAAGTTCCATGCTTGATCTTTCAAAATTGAAATTTCTGAGGATCACGAAACAAACATTCAGAGATTATCAGAAATCAAAGAACTCTCCATAATTCACTTTTATGACTATATTCTCTGTATCACCATGCTAAAATTAAACTTATTTTTACAATGAAATGGCATATCAACTTCATGTGTTATCATGAAGACTGGAATTTCTACACATACAATATCATAAAGCTGCACAGTGGTCAACTAACAGTGAAACAACTAAGCCAACACAAGCACCCTTTGACTTCCATTTTGTTTCTTCATTTCAAAAAAAGATTTTCAACCAGAAAGATATTTACAAGTAGGAAAATTCTCCAGTTACTAAAATCAACTTATTCAGATAAAAATCTATGGATTTTTACTGCACTTTTTGCCACCTACTAATGAAATAACATAAATGTTGATCTACTCAGCCTTTTTAAGCTTCTTATATGAGCTTACAACTAAATTAGTTTGCAATACACTTATTTGTGTCACACAAAGTCAGTTACTAAGTACAGTTGAGAAAACAGGGATTAAGCTGCAGGGAGGGAAAGCACTACAACTTTCTGCAGCACTGGGGGAAAAAACCTAAAAAAGAAATCAAGGCAAAACCCAATGCAGCTTAGTTCCAGGATTACTTCTCATCTGGATAAGTCATCAACAGCAGATATACACGTGCTCAGCCTGGCCAAAAAATTATTCAAGGCAGTCAAAGATTCCGGCAGACATAGCCAAAAATCCCCAAACAAACAGGAAACTCAGCTGCTACCCAAAGTGTGAGAATGATGGTTATGTGTAAGCACAAGAGATTTAATAATGATATTTAATGATAAGAATGCAATAGTTCCTACAAGTTCCTGGTAAAACAAATCCCATCTTAGAAATGCCTGTCTACATTAGATGAAGATAGGTTTGAGAAGGATGAACTCTTGAGAGGAAAAAAGTGAAAATAAAAATGGGAGTTGAAACTGTATGGAAATTCCAAGTATATGCAAGTAACAAGTTACAATCCTAGTGACCTGTCAGCTCCACAGTGTTTGAAGTATTCTCAGTATCTGAAGGCCTTTTAAAAGTATTCAGAATTGCTTTATCAGCACTAGTTCTACAACCACAAAACTGCATTTAGATGACCTGGAGAAGAGAAAAAGAGAAGCTGTCAGTTACAGATAGTCACGGCACATCCTCCATGAAGATGTATACCAGGGAAATACAAGTGAAGAGAAGCAAAAAACTACACTATGTGCTATATAGTTATATATTCTATTTGTGTTATATACATATACTATATACAAACACTATGGCCACAAACTTGACAAGACTACAAATGCACTAAAAGCATAGCTCAGAATAAAGCTCAACTGAATCCCTGCTTTATTCGTAACACAGCTCTTTCAGACCTGAGGATTAATTAAGGGCCGCCCAGACTTTACTGCCAGTTTGCTACTGCACGTAACAGAATCTGGCAGTGCAGACATTGAACTGACAGTATGAAGTCCAAAACCAGAGGAATTTATGAGGAGATGTTTTTTCACAGCAGCAGCTGTAATGCTTTTTTAGCTGGAGGGGATTCTCTCTTCCTCCTGTCCCCACACTGAGGACTCTTGTGCAGGCACAGTGTACTTCTAGGTCAAGAGGGCTACAGCACTGGGCTTTTCACTAGCATTTGTGCTGTCTGCACTTATCACAACAATGAAGTAAGTCTCAGAGCTAGAAGGTTATTCTGGCAGGGATGGACATCACTGTCTCCTGGTGTAAGAGCTATCCCTGATCTTACCTGCAAATGCTAAGTATCATGATTATTTCTAACTAGTCAACTACTAACGAAAGTATCTGTTTAACAAGTTGTACTATCCAAAGGAAACAGCATTGATAATTACTGCTTTTAGCCACTAACTTCCTGATATTTGGCAGGAAACTCAAGTTAACACTGTTTCCAAGTGTAACTCCTAACAGCACTTCCTGCAGAAGTCTTCTATCATCAGTAACAAAGGTAACAACCAAGCACCATGAGCTGCAATAGTAATAATAATAATAAAAAAAATTAATAATTACAATAATGATAATACCACCATCATCAAATATAGCCTTTTGTCTAAAAACACAGGAGCAGAAAGGTTAGTGAGGAGAGATCATCAACGGTCTCATTAGCCTCATTGGTCTAATTTTACTGGAGTGAGGTACCTGTGACTTTCCTATGGCAATCTTCAAACTCCTTCCTGCTACCCCATCAGTGCAGCTACAGGCACCTTATTTCAGCAGAACTGATCCACTGGTTTCCATATGCACAAGTTGATTCTGCTAGAAACTTCATTTAGAGCCAGGACACCAGAGAGCGCAGAGGGCAGAACAGAGCTTACTGTCAGTCCCTTCCCCACCAAGGGCAGAAAAGCACTAATTAACAGCATCCAGCTCCAAAGAAAGGAGACTGAGTGCACAGCAGAAATCAGAGGAACAGAGGAATAATTCTTTTGTTAGAGATTTTTGTACAACAGCACTACTTATTGTTGTTTGGTGGTGTGCATTTCTAAATGTAATATCCTACTGTGTTATCAGCACTTCACCCATCATTGATGCAGTCCCACAGCTGTATAACCATTACCGCAATGAACTGGGGAAAAAAGCCAAATAACTTAAGAGTTTTTAACCTAAGAGTTTTACTCAGCATAATTATGCCTAATCTTTTAGTTAAGTGCTATTAACTACTTCTAATGAAAGGGAATATACCTTTCTCTGAGTTTAACACTGAGCTACAGGAAGAAATTAATGAAAAAATGGGATACTGGGTATCTCAACTCCTATCAACACTGTCTACCATAGCATCTACAGTCTTGTGGCAGGGACAAGACTACACAATCCATGTCCTTCATAGTAGCATCCCCACCTTATTTCAAAACTTTTAAGAACACCTGAAACAAACCTTCAGCTTCATAGTGCTTGGTTTTGAAGATAATACTGCTTCAAATTGGACGACTCTGGGGGTCTATCTTTGAGAAAGAGATATTAATAGCTAGTGCACAAGGCAATGTAGCAAAAGAGAAAATGAAAAACACTGCTAAATAGTGTAGACAAAACTGAATAATTATGTTAGTTTGAAAGTTAATATAAATATGCCCATAGCAGTTGACTGAAAATGCATTTGGAGTCACATTTCTGAATGCTTCAAGTGATACAACCAACCTTGACAAATACATTTCATGATTACTAGCTGCTAAGAATTAATTTAAAAGATATTTCAATCATACTCCACTTTATCATTACAGTTGCCTACGTCATTTACTTCAGATTGCACAGGCAACTTGTCCATTTGGATTGTAATTCAATTTTAACCACCACAAGCTCAAGCTGCATTTCCTGCACAACAATGTTAGCATTTTAATTATTCACAAAAGCATCAAGCTTATATCCCCAAATTAACATTCATTCCAGATTCCTAAAAGTTATAACTATTTCAGGAATTAATACTGTTTCAAAAAAGTAAGAAAATTCTCTCCACAGAGATTCGAAGACTAATGTTTCTAAACCTTGTATACTACATGAAAGTCAATTTCTGCAATGGGGAAAAAAATTAACAATCTTGCCCTTCTTCTCTAGTTGATGTCTGGTTTTGTGTTATGTATATTACCAACGTCTGCTTAGCTCTTCTTACTCAGTCTGTTACATCAGAATATTTCTCTCACATGCATTACCTCTACACACAGGAGTTTTTCCCAAGCAACGCTTCCATAGGGCAGTTTGGCAGATTTTACATTAGTAAGGAAAGCATTGCTAGTGCTTGCTTTGTTTTTTTTCCTAGCTTCCATAAATAACTATTCATTTAGGTGTTTATGTCCCTCACACACTGTATGATTCTTCTGGTTCTCCTCTATTTGTGAACAGAAATGGAGATGCCACTCAAGGCTTGTTTTTAAAACATGAACACTACAAAAAACTAATGCTAGATAAAGGAGCTAACGCTCCTCTTTTTTAAGCTTTATGATTGATAGGCAATCCAATTCAATAGCACTAAATAACTGGTTGTAAGAGGTGGCTAGTGTCAACTGACTCTATAAATACTATCCATTTGTGATTAGGTGAATCCATTTTGCAAGTGACCTTCACTTTTAGTACCTCTAGAGTACCTACCTTGGAAGTCCAAATTCACAATACTTATTTGATTTTAAAAAAAGTCCTAAGTAACAGCTCTAATGAACATATTAAAGGGTTGAGTATTACAACAATATTAAATGTTAAGTCGACCTTTTTTCAAAACTGACTTCAATCTAGAGTTCTAGCAAAGGCTAGCAAGATCTAACGTCTGAAAACTTTCATAGTAAACTGAATCTTTTAAAAGATAAAAAAAATAAAGCCCGTGCTTTACAGCCAATCACATTTGCAGCTGACATTACTTGTTTTACACAAATAGCTAGTGATTGAAAGTTGCTGCACTTGCTTCCCCAAGAGATACTTTGCTTCATCAGGTCTTCTGGTCCACATAATGTACAAGATCAAACTACCTCTCAGCTGTCTCCTCTAGCTTCCTAATCCATTTTTACAACTCATTTTTATTATACTGAAGAACAAAAATAAAATACATTTTTCCCATTACACTGTGGGAGAGAGGATAATGGTCAGGAGGTATAGAGTTTGTCATCAGATTTCTACCAATTCCAGTATTTATTTTAATTAAACAAGCATCTGTAAGCACAAGCCTTGTTACTCTTTCTGCATGCTGACTGTGAAGATCCATTCTCTATCTTTCTTTCATCAGGCATTGTGGGGCACTGAATTATGTTATTAGGAATTCTGAAATCAGGAGACCATCCACTCTGACTTTTGAAAAGGCTTTTCAAGTCACAAACAACAATTTTGTGAGTACTTTATAATGAAAATTTTGAGGAGATTAGCTAAAGTGGTATATGCATGGAACATTTACCATTTAAAACAAAGCAATCGGACAGTTAGTCAAAGATACCATAGACTCAGTTTTGGCCTTTAAACTAGCCTAAAGTTTACAACTACTCCCACACCCTGCTATACAAATTCCCCTCCACCACCACCCTACACCAGGTAATTTTCTTATTCTTCATTAAATGCTGTACCATCGAGGCAAATCCAAAGTTTTCCCAATAACCCAAACAAAATGTTGACGAGCTTTTTTTTTTTTTAAACAAGTCCTTAATCTTTCAATCCTCATTCCTAAACACTGACTATTCCTCACTTGGGTCATACTACCTAGATTATCACCATTTCTCTCAAATTGTCCTGTTGTACGAGACTCCCATAAAACACAGCATTGCACCCCATTTCTGAGTCCTACTATTATTCTCATTTCCCTTTCACCTTACTGTTATCTGCTGCAGGGCACACTTGTCCCACACATTTTTCCTTGAACTTCATCAAGCATCACCCCCTGCAAGAAGGCAATAATTGTAAAAACTTCTAGATTACTGCATTTGCTGAAAAATTTGCATTCTTGGAAGAATGGTTCCAATACTGATTCTCTAACATTTTTATTTCATTTTTTCTGTAAATGAAAAGACAAAGGGAATGTTTATTTTAATACACTTTTAATTCCTCTGAATGAACTAGCACTCAGTATCCTTAATCCATGTTCCCCTTCACCACCTCATTTGAACAAGCATCAGAACCACTCAAAAATAATAGCTGACAAAATTGCCAAACTTCAGAGGGCATTTGTCCATTTAAAAGCTGAGCTATCATACAGTTTTCTTGCACCTGGTCAACAATCCCTGCTTAACAACTGTAAGCCTGAAGAAAGGAAAATAAATAATAAAGACTAAAATGGTCCATGGGAGTCTTGGGATTTCCATAATGACTTGCTGTTGGACCTCACTCAAGTTAAAAGACACTAATGTTTTGCTCCTCAGCTCTGTCCAACAGTTTTAAGCAGTTTTTAATCAATTGAAAAGAAGTTTGGTTATTTTACCTTTCTTTGCCCTTCACCCCTCTGGCAGCTTACTGTTGGTACTACTACCACCAATGTGTACCAGTACTGCTCAGAAAACTCTATCATTATTTTAAAGTCATCTTCTACCAGCATATTTGTAAGTAATTTCCTCAATACTTACATGAATTACTTCTCAGTCATTTATGACAAGTAACTTGGCAACACTTCTCTAACCAAACTGTCCACATACTACAAAAGCTCATACAGTGCACAAAATACAGAAATGTTAATGATACTACTTCAGAATCTTTATTGAACCTACTCAAAGAGCATTCTTATCTACACTCACTCACTTAGCCTGTCGTCAGAATTACAAGGCCAGCAGAAGCAGCTGTTGCCAATTTCGATCTCTGATCCAGTGGCTCCTCCCTCATCTGAAGATGGTAGAAGTGGAATCTAATGTTTCTCCTTTTGCAGTACATTCAGCACCATTTTTTATACTTCTCAGCCCAGATCTGTGTTCTACTTCGTGGAAGACCTTATATTAGTTTGCCCAAATGTGCTCGTTTTGGCTGGGAGTTAATTTTCTTCATAGTAGCTAGTATGGGGCTCTGTTTTGGATTTGTGCTGGAAACAGTGTTGATAACACAGGGATGTTTTCGTTACTGCTGAGCAGTGCTTACACAGAGCCAAGGCCTTTTCTGCTCCTCACCCCACCCCACTGCGAGGAGGCTGGGGGGGCACAAGGAGTTGGGAGGGGACACAGCCGGGACAGCTGACCCCAACTGACCAAAGGGGTATTCCATACCATATGGTGTCACGCTCAGCACAAAGCTGGGGAAAAAAGAAAGGGGGGGATGTTTGGAGTGATGGTGTTTGTCTCCCCAAGTAACCATTACACGTGATGGAGCCCTGCTTTCCTGGAGATGGCTGAACACCTGCCTGCCGATGGGAAGTGGTGAATGAATTTCTTGTTTTGCTTTGCTTGTGTGCACGGCTTTTGCTTTATCTAATTAATTGTCCGTACCTCAACCCATGAATTTTCCCACTTTTACCCTTCTGATCCTCTCCCCCATCCCGCTGTGGGAGGAGTGAGCGAGTGGCTGTGTGGTGCTTAGTTGCTGGCTGGGGTTAAACCACAAGACCCAAACATAATGATTCATCCCTCTACCCTTAAATACTATCTTTATTTAAATAATTTAAGACAGATGAGGTCCTGTGGTAAAGCTGTTAAATGTTTGCTTTGCTTCAGGTTACTATAGACTACTTTTCAGAAGAAAACCAGGACATCAGCCTCTTTAAAGACTCAATAATTTTGTACAGCTCCCTTTAACAAAAAGGGGTTTTGTGTGGGTTTGGTGGGTTTTGGTTTTTTGGGGGTTGTTTTTTGGGGGTTGTTTTTTTTTAAAAAACATGATTAAGGAAATAAAGAATACACTTCATCTGAACTGCATTAAGATTCCTGTTCACTAGTCAAGAAAATAAAAACCTCCAAACTGCTGCTTGCTTACTAGCAATGAAGATGTGCAATAACAAAATTCTCAATATTATTTTAAACATCTGTAGGAAGTTAAGAATTCATTGCAAAATGTGTTTCTTACCATGCCTTTTCCATCTATGCCCTCGGATAGACATGCTAGTCACAGCATTTCTTGATATCCTGGATGAAGTAGGTGTAATTTCAACCTGAATGCATCTTGTACCTTCTTTGCTAGATTTCATGGCACCCTGAGGCAGTGAAGCTTTTATTGCATTAGCAACCTAGAACACAAAAGATGCAGTTAATTTCTTAACATGAAGATCCAAATTTTAGAAGAATTCTGTCAGGGGATTCTTATTACTCCAAGAAGAATACTGTGTACAATTCCAGTTTAAGATCAAAAAACCACACTAACTTTTTGCACAGGTTATAAGGGAATGCTGGTTAAAATTAGCTCTGGGAACCAATACTTGTCACTTTTTAAAACAAAGTTTCCAGTTTAAAGATGTGGCTATTACTTCAGAGTGCTTCTGCACTATCATCTAAGCTTTCAAGACTTAGAAATGTTCTACTGAAAATAGCTTGTTCACTAGGGAAGATGACAAAGTAACTAAGTACATTGAAAACACTTGTGGGTGTGTGTGCATACTTACAGATGTAACTATTCACATGATCACAGCCACATAGACATTCTGGGATTTAGGTTCCTGGTGTGATGTTGCATCATGTGTGTTCACAAGACGGATTTCCTAGACTAAAAATTCTATTCAAAAAATGTTGAAATACAACACCTACCAGCAGAGGTTCTGGATACAGTTCCAGCTGTGCTCTATACAAAATGTCATCCATAGCTTTACGAGCCAGGTCCCATTCTCCATTATAACTACAAAGGTAAATATATACATAATAATAAACATCTATATCAACAGATGAACCTTCTTGGTCACATAACCTTCAGAGGTTTAGTGTTCCTTAAGAGCTCAATTTAGAGGAGTTGATCTACTTGTGTTCATTAGCAGTAAGCCTGCTATTTAGAGAACTTGTTCTGAAGTAGCACCTACGGAGACAAAGTTTTATTTTCATTGGCCACCCTGAGCAGTTTAAAAATGACATAATTAGTTATTGATCAGCTAGTCATGAAATATTCTGAAATTCAAACAGGATTATTTTAATATTACTCCACCTTTTTAGTATTCCTGTGTTGCTAGTCTGTAATTATTTCAGTTAATAAGAGCTTCACACATTAACATGACTGTCAAAGGGTAGATGACATCAGCATTTTAGAGAAAAAATAAGACCTTTTTTCCTTAACTAGACTGATGTCAAAACTAAGCATGCAAAAATGTGGACAGCAGATAACAGTTGGAAAAGATTTTTTTAAGAGATATTTTCACATCAGCAGTTATACCTATTAAATGCTGTTCTAGCCCTCTTTCCCCAATATGACATAGGTAACTTCAGCCAACTAGTTGGAGAGCTATGTTCTCTTCCTGAGGACCTTATTGCTAGACACAGCATCTGTCCACTAGAAAATAAAACATTTCAAAGGTAGCATGCCTAAATGAGTGTAGAAAGTAAGCTGACATTTCTTTATTTTGTAAGCGTACAAAAAAAACCCCACACAACTTACAAGGCATAATAAATCCCTGTTAGCATTTGCACCATGAATTCAGATGAAACTGGAATCCTACTGTTGACTCCCTTGTACTTTCTCACTTGTTGGCGAGGATATCCACAGACACAAATTCTAAAGAAATCATGCATTTGTCATTAGCAAATAATGTAGAACCACCTTTGTATAGAATACTACACAGCAAGGTGTTTAGTATGCATTTTAATTACAATAGACCCACAGGAAGGCATCCATCAACAACCCTGTGCTGAAGCAGACTATTTCTTGTTATGAAAGAAGGGTATGCCCTCTACTGGCAGTGTTCAAATGCTTCAAAACAGAGACATCCTAGACACTCCCGTTACATTTATACTGTAGTGGAACATGGAAGAAAACTGCCAGTAAAAGCCATTCTAAACCCACACATTTGCTGCAGAACGGACAAAAAAAAATAAGTTAATGGTATTTAAGGAAATAAAGCAGCATAGCAACTACTAATATTACAGACAGAAACATAAGCGTCATTGCATATAATATGGAAGCTGCACACAAGTTTTCAAACAAAGAAACCAGAAGCATCACATTTGTAAAATTATTCTAAAATCCAGTAAAAGTCAGCTTTAGAATTTAATTCTGAACTAAATTACACATCAGGTTCTGTAGTCAAAATATTTTGGAAATCAAAGATAAATGCTAGTTAAATATTTAGTTCACTGGCTATTACTGGACTTCTGGAATGATCTTTAATGACATTAATCAAAATATTTCCTTCTCCAAACCATAGACTAGAAGGTTTAGTCTCAGAAAGCTTCAGTTCTTCAGCTTCAATACCAGAGAGACTGTAAAACTCCTCTTAAATATATTTTTTCCAGAAAAAAAATATTGAATTAAGATTGTATTGTAGTACCTTTCAAATTACATCTGTAATAAAGATTTCAGGAGCTTTTTTTTATTACTGCTAACTTTGCCACTAACCTACTGCACTTTTTTCCTCTCCTCCTCTATCCTGCAGCTCATCTTCTACTTTGGGTACTTAAAAAACAAAAGAAACCCCAAACAAAAACAACCCACAAAACCCACCACCCCCACCCCCCCACACACAAAAAGCAGACAGCGCCCCCAAGACCTCTATGGCTCCGCACCCCTCCCAGTATGTACTTTGTACCTAGTGTGATCTAAATTTGACTCTTCATGCTGATATCACAGTATCTCCAAATAAAAACAACAACAACAAAGATTTTAAACACTTCATTAGGAAAGACAGGAAGCCACACTAGTGAGAACATGCAAGGAAACGAAAACATCATGAGATGTTTATAAAGGAAAAATCATTGAATGGTTTGGGTCAGCAGGTACCTTTAAAGATCATCAATTTCCACACACCAACCCCCACCACGGGCCAGGACATCTTCCACTAGACCAGGTTGTTCAAAGCCCTGTCCAACCTGACCTTGAACACTTCCAGTGATGGGGCATCCACAACCTCACTGGGCAACCTGGTCCAGTGCCTCACCACTCTCATCGTAAAAAATTTCTTCCTTATGTCCAATCTAAGTTGACCCTCGTTCAGTTTAAAACTGTTGTCCCTTGTCCTGTCACTACAGGTCCTGGTAAAAAGCCTCTCTCATCTTTCTTATAAGCCTCCCTTATATATATTGAAGGGCTGCAATAAGGTCTTCCTGGAGTCTTCTGTTCTCCAGGCTGAACAACCCCAACCCTCAGCCTTTCTTCATTGGAGAGGTGTTCCAACCCTCTGATGATTTTTGTGGCCCTCCTCTGGACCCAAAGGTCCACAAAACAGGTCTATGTCTTTCTTTTACTGGGAACCCCAGAGCTGAATGCAGTACTCCAGGTGGGGTCTCACGAGAGCTGAGGAGAAGGGGAGAATCACCTCCCTCAATCTGCTGGCTACACTTCTTTTTATGCAGTCTAAGATACGATTGGCTTTCTGGGCTACAAGTGCATATTGCACCATATCCCCAGTCCCTTCTCCACAGTGCTGCCCTCAATCCGTTCATCCCTCAGGCTGTACTGATACTGGGGATTGCCCCAACACAGGTGCAGGGCCTTGCACTTGGCCTTGTCAAACTTCATGAGGTTAAGATACCTATGGGTATAGAATACCTACCCTCTATGCACTCATCTGATATTGAAGGTAATTCCATAAACCCTAGGCTTATGCTGACACTTTATAGAGTTGGTCAACTGCTGCTCTGAGCATCAGTATTTAGCCATAATTCTGGTCTGACACATGTTCCCTTGAATCCCTAAAATGCTGTCAGGGTGACATTTTCAGTAAGCAGAGAAATATGGATGCCAAAACCAGTAGGGAATGAAGAACTAAGATAAAAGTAAAATTGTGTAGTATCAAATAATGCAAGTATCCAAACAGTCAACATTTTGAAGTAGAAGGACTTGCTTGCATCTATGGTAATTTGCTTGGGTTTTTTTGGAGGCTTTTAAAAAATTATTTATCCCAAATACAATCAAAACCTAATCAAACAGAATAAGCAACATCAGTCTCCTGTCCACAATCCTTAGTTTTTAAATATTTTCCACCTTAAATTTTAGACCAGCATATCTAACAAAGATCTTGTAAAGACTCTTGTAAATATTGCCAAGTGCTCCAATGCTCTCCCACCTCCTCCAAAGAGGAGAGGATCTTACAGGCATCCATTACCATGTTTTGTTTGTGTGAGGAACCTGGAAACTCTGACTAGTAGAAAGTTGGTGTAGTTGACTTCTAGGTCTCTCTTGGGTTTCCTGAGTTAACAAGAACATTCTAATTTTTTCCTTAACCCAAAGTCCACTTTCAGAAATCTAGAGATAGACATGTTTACTACCAGTTCTTCCTGTTTGAAAAAGAAATGGATCAAAAATAGACATTGTAATTAAAGCTGAGGTGGGTTGGGGGGGGGTTGTTTTTTGAAGTAAAAGCAGATTTTGGAAATAGCCAAAGTATCTGTTAGAGTGGATGTATTTCTAGTTTCAAGATCTTCTATAATTTCAAGAAGTTTCAACTTGCACAGCATCCAAATATATTTAGTAAGCTTGCAGTGCAAAATGTACCAAGATTTTAGAAGACGTTCCTGATTTCATTTGGTTAACACACCTACAACTACTTTGATTAAAAACAAACAGTTCCCTCGATGGGACTTCTCCACTTAACAGCACTGCATATGAGCCAGGTCATTGCTTCCCCATTTTGAGATCTCAACCCAAAGTTATGTAAGAGATACTTTAAAAGCAAATAATGCAGCTGTAAAAACTTATGAAAAAACAAGTCAAGTTTACAAGCAGCTTTTGCAACCTGAATTTTTTTTTTCCTTTTAAATTTCAAACCAATTGCATTTCAAGTTGAAAATGCCACTTAAAGTGTAGTCAACCTACAGAAATTACCTTGAAGAAATTTGACACAATGACTGAAGAGAAACTGCAGGCATGTAGCTTAAGGCAGCATTGTAACAGAGCAGAAGGAAAGTCAGCACTTCAAACCTGGGATTTACAAGAAACATTAGAATTACATTACCAATTTTATTTTTTAACAGAAAACAAGTTTACACAGAAATTTGTAAGAGTTATTTGAACAGATCTGGTATTTCGTTTCAATAAAATTGACAATTGAGTAGTTTGGTTCTGTAAGCTTTTCCTCTTCATGTAGTAATATACACTGCTAATCTTTCTGCATCTACATTTACATGTGTTTAAAAACACAAAAACCCACCACAAAACACAGCATACACCTATCTACCTTCAGTCTATAACTATATTACAAATTATAAGTTAAGATTCATTAGTGATTCTCAAGCAAAATCCTATTACACAATTTCACCTGTTCTGTGCTGTTAACATCTCCCTCTGAGGATGAGGTCCACTGTATACAACCCTGGACAAACCATGCTGCGATAAAGCTCCTTCAGTGAGAACCATGGAGCCAATGCTGGAAGGCTAAAGGAAAAAGGGTCATTCAAAACATGTCTGCCTGAAGTCTTACTACAACACAAGTGAAAATACACAACAATCAGCATCACCATATTTGTACATAAATTTTCAACAGATTTAAGGTTATCTGACTGCTTAGTTGTCTTAGACTTGGGAAGTTATTTTTACACCAGATAAGGTACATGGCTTCAGAACAAGGAAAAAAAAAAAAAAAAGACACAGTTGGTGCATGGATATTATGGAGTTATGACTATTCAGTCCTGAAGAGGCCTCAGAGACCAGTTAGTACTCAGAAGACCGAGAAATACGTTCCTATGCCATCATGCAACACGTTAAAGCTACTTCTCACTTTTATTCTTAACAAACAGGTCTCCAAAGCATACTGCCTTTCTTGATCAGTAAGAACTTTATGTTGTAGATGTCACTTACTTCATGATAGACTGAAGGTTTGGACAAAGATGGAATCGTGAAACTCAGCACTTTGCTATGTCCCTCTTCGTCAACTATCTCCTGAAAAAGACAGAAGATACCAATGGTTACACTGTACTACAGAAACTAGACATTCAAAAATGTTAAATGCTAGGTGGGGGTGAATGGTTAAAGAAAGCCAACAAATTATTATGGGGACAGGTAGGGATACTATAACAATCCGAGCTACGAGCTAGAAATTATCTCTGTATTTGCTTCCTATCACAGTGCATTTGCTTTGTTTCTGAAAACTATTCAAATGATTTCACAAAGGGCACATGCATTTACATATATAGTCCACCTTAAAAACACTAACTGGAAATCTCAGTATGCTTAAACAGTGTTGTCTTTAATTATACACTATTTGCTAATTGTAAAGGTTAATGCTCAATAATTCTGTTCTGAAAACTATTTACCCATCAAGTAATGATGCTACAAGTAATTTGTTTTGGAAATATTATAGCTCTAGAATGACTGCAGCCTCATATGATTTGATAGTAGCAGACATCATAGTATTTGCAAAGGGCCAAGTTTGATAATTCCATACTTATAGAGTTAAAAGAAGCATGGATGCAAAGCTTTAGAGAAGCTACTTTCCTGCAAGATACCACCATAGCAGTATGTTGACAGACTTCTCACTCCTGTAAGTTAGTAGAAGACTAAGGGGTAAGGGGAAGGGAAAAAACAAAGTGCCTACAAATCACAGAAGAACACTGAAGTACTTCAAACAAAAAACTTCAGAAGTTCCAAAGCAGACCTGACTAATAATCAACACCACACAGAAAAGAACTTTTTATTTTTTTCTGCTATATTTCAGCAGCAGATTTCATATAGCTAAAGGTAGAGATTAGAGAGGAGCCTCAGTGTCTCTTAACACTCATGCCTTGGAAGGCTGAAGGACTAACTTCACATAGTAATTATTAAAACTCACATCTCAAAGTAGACTACGAAGCAGTAAAGGAAGACTGAGAAGTATCAAAAAGTCATACAGAGCTGTTCTGTCTGAAGAGTTATACAGCTCCTCCACTCTCCACATACACCACTGATACCTTAAATTTTCAGTATTGCTGCTGCATCCACACGGAAAACAGTTTCCCCAATATATGGGAGAAGAAGGGAAGAGAAATTGGGTACATCCAACCTTTTAAAATCTAAAAATACCAATATTTTGACTCTTCATTCTAATCAAATTTGTAATTAAGTTTTAGGAGTGCACTTCAAGATCGGAAGCACATTAGAAAAAAAACTGATACATACAGCCAGGAAAGCCAAAAATATCAACTGCATGCAGTACCACTATAAGTCTCCAAGCTGAAGGTAGAACAAACCAGTTCATGATCTCAAGGTTCAGCCACAATAATTCCATACCCCTGACAACATAGTGAATTTAAAATTATTCTAAGCAATACTTAATTTTTCGATTTCCTTCAGTAAGAAACTGCAGGACTCTGCTGAGCATATTAATTCCCTCAAGTTCCAAGAGACCACTGTACATATTTACAGAAGGATTACTATTTGTATTAGGCTACATCTTTCCTCTCGCTTTTGAAAACATAAAGTAGCTGTTTAAAGAGAAAATAAATATCTAAGCAGGTCACCTATTACCTTTTCAACCTTGTATACTCTCTTCTAGGAGAAAGACAAGCAATTATAGCTGTGTCCGTCAACCATTTTAGATTACTTCATCATGGAAATAAAGGAGTTAATTGACTTAAGGCTCAAGATATACCAAACGCTTTCCAGGAATGTTTTTCTTCTCAGATATAACTAAGCACACAGAAAGCACATGAAGCCTGTACTCTGCCTAAAGAGGAGTTGAATATAAGGGCTCAGGTTTTTAGGTAGACTCCTGGGTGAAAAAATGTTTTCACTCGCTTGGTAAAGACACTTGAGATTATTTTTAGAAGAAGGATGGGAGCTGCTTTCTCCAGATTTTCAGAATGGGAAGAGGAGACTTGAAGTTCGTCACTGTTTCCCTTCCCAGAAAGCCTTCCTAAAACATCCAGAACATACAAACTGCACTGAAGAGAATCCCAATGAACATAACACTAAGGGTTTTATAATAGCCATAAAAAGACTAAATGCATAACTAAAATATTGTGCGCTTAAAGGTTCCTTCATAATTCTTTTCTTTAAAGCAGTAATTTAGTAAAAACCAGTATCTTTTCATACAAAATATGAAAAAATGTCAAGGTTATTACAAAATGAAAACACACTTTTAATTTCTCAAAGCTAAGCAATCTCTTCAGCGGTCAAGTACTAAGAACTTGTTGAAAGTGATTTTTTGTGTTTTCTAGTCAAGACAGTCAAAATACCCCAGAAAATATTGGCAACCACTTCAAAAGTAGCACCTTGAAGTTCTCAAGCAGAATTTCAGTTTAATCACCATACCAAGAATTAAGTAACAAAAAAATTAAGAGCACTCCTTTGGCTCCTTCAGCCATTAGTGCGTTAATACTTTCCAGGTACCACAAAAAGAGCAGAGAAAATATTCACCAGAATAAAAGTTATGTTGCAGATTTCTGATAAAGACACCAATTTGAAGAGTCAAAACTGAGATACTCAATTCAATTCTGAAACAAAATTGTTAATTATTTCCCAGTAAAATACTCTATATTATCCCCCAAAAGCACACCAATAATTTTAGGTCTGAATAATTACGTGCAAATACAAACCAAGTTATAAATTCCTAGGAGAAGAGCCTCTATACATCCACTGCTCTGCAAATCTCTGCTGGCTGAGACAGCAAGATAGCACCACATCAATTCCGGTAGAAACTGCAGCGTGAATCGTAGCAATTGTTTCTCACCACTGCGATAGAACTCAAAGAGCTGATGACAAACTGGTTCCAGAAGCTGAAATATAAATTACAATTGTAAATGAATAAAACATTACAAGAAACTGAAACTCTGTGTGGATCAATCCTATGGACAAAACTGTAAACTGATAAATGTTGTATTTTAGCTATTAGGGAGTGACTGATGAAATAACCACCTAAGTCACCTTACACACTTTTCATCCCTTATAACATACTTTCAGATGGTAAAAGTAGAGCTTTCCATCCCATGTAAAGAAAGAATTCCAATGGCTCCTTTCTCTCACTTTTGGCTCAGCCACAAAGGCATATAGAGGACACTTGTTATCACCACACTTAATACCATGCCCTCAATATCTCTAATATACAGGAAAAGTACCTGAACAAAAGGTCTTGCTATTCTAGAGCTCCAGCAGTGTACACACAGATTGCTAAAAGCTTTTACCCACGAAGTGAAAAGAGCTGCATAACACTCAAACTATTACAATAATTAGTATACAGTAGAATTAGATCACTTTTCCACTCTCATTAAAATCTTCTAGAAACTTCAATGTATTTATAGGTTTGAGACAGAAATGGGAAGCCTCAAGTGTAATTTTACAATCAAATTTGTTAAGCTGATATAAATGGAAGTAATACATTGAATTGGAAGTAATACATTGAGCTAGAACAAGTTAAAAAAAGACTTAAAAACAATTAAGCAATCAGCTTGCACTGTGTTTCTGGGTTTAATGTGCATTCTTGTGCTACCACCTACCTCTGCTAGAGGATGAAACATAGTGTTAACCCTCATGTGTCAATGTATGGAAGTTATATATTCATTTTGTCACCGAGATAGGAGAGTTCCTAACCTATGTGGAAAATACTGTCAAAACCAGCAGGCAATTTCAAAGCCAGCTGAACAGGACACTGAAGTCTCAAGCAAAATCTCAAAAGCACATACTCAAAAATACTTTTTCGCAGCAAACACAGCAAACCAATCGATAAGAGTTTGGAACTGTAAAAGGATTTCTTCTAAAAAAAAAAAAGTGGGGTAGAGACAGGAAAAGGGGGATTTTTAATTCAATCTTCTAAATCATTTGTTTGCAAATAATAACAAATAGGAGGACCCTAACATCTAAGAAACTACTCCCTGAAAAAGAATCTAGGCAGTTGATGCATTTATATTAGCAAACTTTACAAAATGAAATGTGAGATTCCAGCTATTTAGAATTCATTTTATCACCTCCAGCTAGTATATAAAAAAAAGCATTACATAAAATGTGACATTCTCCAATTGCAAATCTCTGAAAGACAGGATTCAAATGTAACATAGCTAAAGGACCAGTTTTTCTACCTTGTTTCTTACCTCCAAGATTTAATGTCTTAACAGTTCATCTATATGACTCACAGAAGTAGATTCTAAATTCACCAGGAATGTTTAGGCTAGTAATAGACCTTCACTGAAACGTATTTGTGCAAAAAATCCCCAAAAGTTTCAACCTGAAAATGATGGAATCCAAACCAGACATGTATTTTAGAGATTGCACTGAGAAAAAAATACTATAATCACTAGAATTGCCACTGCACTTCAGTTCAGAAAGCATATTACTCAACACCTTTCTGAAAATCCTTAAAAACTGGAATATACATATGTACTTTACTGCTGGTAACATGCTGATCACTTTTTCCATTTTATTCTAACTACAACACTCAGTTGTTCTTCTATTTGTCTAGGTCATGCCTTCAGTTTTTCAATGGACCAAGCTTCCAAAAAGGTAAGAAACCCATTCTTCTATATTTTCCTCCCTTTATTGCAGGAAAGGAGGCATCACCACCAGAGAGGCATGCTAGAAGAAAAACCTGCTTTCTCTCCTAAGTTTTTCCTCTTGACTACAATGAAAATTGAGTCAACGTTTCTCACCTCCCAAAGTTACTTCTGAAACCAAAGACTCTTAGCAGGCTTTGGTTCTTTTTTAGCAGTAATTTGGGACGATCTGATCCATTCAGAAAAAGAGGAACTTTTAGTTTCTGACAAATACAGCTTCTCTTTGGAAAAATCATTTGTGAAAAATGCACACTAACGGCAAAAAAGCCATGCCAAGCTAAACTAGTTGCCAGTTTTAAGAGCAAAATATCAAAGATCCTTCTAGAAAAATTTACCAGCACAAGTGCTTTCCATCTTCAGCTTACATATTTCACACAATTTGCATGCTTTCTTTAATGAAGTATCTGTTCAGAATGATGTGCTTGAACTTTAAAAGGCACATAAATAGCTATGACAGGTATCCATGTTCACATCATTATCTCAGTTGAGACAGCTTTATACCAGCACATTTAAATGCTTAATCAGAAAAAAACCAGATTTTCTTCCTGAAAATGCCACCACATGCTACAACCTAATATCAAAACACACTAATGATTGTTGCTGTTTCAAGATATTGTTTTAAACTAAAACAGTTCCAAAAGGTATACAAACTGAAACAATTTTTAATGCTGGAACAGAAGAATGTCCAAGCAGTTTCATCCCTGTTTCTTTTAAGCTGCATCCAAATGCGTTAGACACTCCAAACACTTTCCATTTCCTAATGCAAATGTCTGCACGGCTACTATCTAAAAGGACAGCAATAGCATTTCAGGTAGAAAGAAAAAATCTTGCATTTGTGAAGAAACAAACCTCAGAATTTTTTTTTTTTTTAAACTGTTGGACTCTTGAGTCAATTAAAAGTCCTTTAAATCTTCACATCTACTGAAGACTCCCCTTGTACTGAATTACATTTTTCACGTATCAGTGGCCCAGGAACCTCAAAAGTAACTAACAAAGGCTTTACTAACAAAGCTACTATGAATTGGGTATTTCTTTGTTACAGCAAAGAAGTAGTTCATTTATCTCACAAATTGATTATTAAATTCTTGGAGAAACAAACCAAAAAACCCCATATGAAAAACAAACATGAACCAGCAGGAAAATACAGTCACAGATGCAAAATATACATGGTTGCTTTTCAAATGCTTTAAAAAAAGAACACATCCATCCCCCAAAACAAGATTAATCACAATTTTAAGGTACAGATAATTATTATATTAGAAGTACATATATTCAAAGGTATACAGATGGGATGGTTTGTCTGGTTTTAATATCAGCAGTATTTGTAGTGTTCACACATCAATCTGTCCCCTTTGCATTATATACATGAGGTAAGAAAGGACAGCAACATATCCTACACTGTAAAGCAAGTTGTCATTACACAATGCAGCTAATAGATCTCAAATAACAGTTGAAAGCAATTACTTGTCTTTTTAACTGCTAGTTTATAAGTATTTTCACAATGTGGAAAGCTCGAAGTAGCCCTTTCCACAAAGTGACAGGTACTCTGAGAACAGTCCAAATAAAGATTTTTGGGACTGTTTTCCCAAGGCAGCACAACACTCAGTGTCAGCACTGGCTTTTCATTTCAATTCAAAGTCTCACTAACAGCGAAATCTTCGATACCTTGCCCCCAGAATTATCCCAACAACTTTTTTGAGCAGAATTTGCAGGGCCTTGACCACCCTGCTACTAAGGTCCCTGAGAAACCCAGGGACAGGCAGAAGTAGTAAGACATCAAAGAACATATGGAAGTATCAATTTGGCTATGAACAGGGAGACTCATCAGATTAATTTACATGTTAATATGCATTCTGAAGACCAGACAGGCTTGACTCAGTAGCTGGAATGACTCAGAATGCCTTTCTGAGCAGCAAAGTAAAATTACATTTCTTCTTTGCTGGACAACCTGGAAGTTTCTCTGCCAGCATTCTTTCTAAAAACGTATGTACTGAAAACATTTTATTCACTGACCACTACTGGCATCATCTCATACTTTAGAAAGGTTCCTTATACTGGGTCTTTTCAGAAGAGGAGTTAAGGACTTGATGCAATTTTAAAATAATACACAAAGGTTTACTGGGTGGTAGAAAGTGAGACAATACAGTTAACAATACACAACTAAAACCAGCTCGGTATGTTCTGAACTCACCTGGACACTTTAAAACAAGTGCAGTTATGGGGTATGGAACCATTCCTGGCACAGGTACAGAGCAAACCTGACCCCTTCCCCCCAGTTTTTTTTCTTTATTTGGCCATCATTTCAGCAAGGGTACATCCACTGTATAAATGCATATATTTATACTGTATGTATTTAAGACAACAACAAAAAAACCTAAAACCTAAGCAATAACTTAAAAGAATTGCAAACCTATTAACATTTTTCTCTTGGGTTGTAACACACAAGCTTTGATAGCTATAGATTCACATTCAAGTGATACTGAATTACAGAAAGAATTCTGTCCGTCTCAAACATCTTTTCAATTCCTTAACCTATTTCTCGATTCTATACCCAAGTCCTGAAGCCTGTGAGTATGATCAGTTGTTCCCATGGTAGTATGTCATTGGTAAGAACAAACATTTTGACGCAGGCTCTTCAAGTAGTTCTGTAGATCACATAGTTAGACCAGAATTAACAGTTAGAATAGAATTAACTAGCACACAAGGTCTTGTTTTATTCTGCTGGTGTTATGTCAGACATTTTATGTGAGAGATCCAATATACTCACTTCATTCTGTGGCTCCTGAATTACTTTGTAAAGAGATGAAATCAAAGCACTCTTGTCTTTCAAGTTTGTAGCATAGCTGGATATGGATGCTTCTGGCAGTGTCTGAAATAAAAATAGTATAACTGCTAGAAAAAGCAGTTTTTATCATTAAAATACAATAGCTATTTCAACAACAATTTTCTATTACAAGTTACTATTTATCAGAGTTTACTATAAACTAAAACGCGTTTCACCATGAAATCTTTACTGCAGAAATCACCGTGTTTTCAGGACAACAAAATTGCCAGAAGACACACTGCATTTTATCATTTTGCAGACAGTTTCATACAGGATGTAGTCACATTGGATGGGAAATAGATAAAAACCAGGAGTTTCACAGGTGCGATCCCAGTGAAATTTCCCTGTGAAACTTAGCAGTTTGCAGATCCATACTTTAAGGAGTTTTCTCAAGACTGACTGTACACAGCTAATGAACATTATTACAGAATATAGTATTACTCTGAAAGAACACAAATTTCAGTTTACATGAACAGCTCTTTTGTAATACTAAACAGATTTTCTGCCAGTACTTAGGAGGGTAAAAATCTAATCTTTTTAACAACACTTTGGAAGCTGTACATTTAAACTTACTATTCATAGCTCTTACAGTACTTCTTATCTGCAGTCCTTCAAAGAGCTCATACTCCATTATACAAATGGGAAAACACATTCCCAGTGTATCTAAGCAGGCCAGGAGCAAAACCTATAGTCAAGTCTACTCTGTACTCAAACCAACAAGACTATTCATCTGTGATATACATTTTCATTGCTCTGTATCAGGAAGTATTAATCCCAAAGAGGACAAGAAAAAAATCCTTTCAAGCATACATTTGCATATATCACATTATCTCAGCAAAATCCAAGGTTACTATTTTTTTTCATCTTCTACAGTAATCAAGCACTCTTGTATATTGCTCCAGCAGCGATTCAAACACTACTAGCTAAGTATCTGAGAGTGTATTACCTTGAACTCTGATAACCACTCCTCCACAACCCCAGTATCCACAGCTAACATCTTCCAACATCCGTTCCAAAACCTTCAGCCTGAAAGGATAAGCAAACACAGTTTGTGAAAACTCTGTAGTCACTGCATTGAACAGATGATGAAAATTAAGTCCCTGTGAATATTTAAAGAATTTTATCATGCTTTTACTTGTTAACATTTCACATGCTGACACTACTTTGAACTTTTATTCTACCTCACTTATGCAAGCTGCTGGAAGCATTAAGCATGGGAGTCTTCACATACAGCAGTTCAATAAATTCCAAATATGTATTGCGTGGGAAGCTCCATAAGTCAAAGATTTGCAGAAATGGCATTTTGAAAACAGAAAATATTACCTTCTTAATTTCAATTTATTTTTCAGCTTATAGAACTTGAGAGAAAACTGTATGGACTCACTGAAGAGAAATGACTGTTTAGGTTTTTCCTAGTCAACTGCTATTCCTAACTTGGAAAAGGTCCCTGAAATAAAGACTGATGGAAAACCTTTCAATCCTCCCCCACTATGGCAACTGCAAAACAACAAGGCTCAGCATGTAGCCCAAGATGGACTCTCCTGTCCAACAACCCGCATAATTCTCAGACAGAGCAAGATCATCAGTACTAAGACTTGAACACAAGAGATGCAGAGTGGCTTTTGAAACTCATTTCTGATTTCTCTTAATTTTTGAGAAAACACTTAAAAACAACTCTCCTTTGGAATGGCTTACTCTGAAACAAAGAGCAATGTACCATTAAGATACAAAACTATGAAAAGTTAAAAAAGCATGCTGTGAGGGATACCCTAGGCATAGGTGAACTATTCAACAATACACATTACCTTATCCAAATTGTGACCATGGATTTCAAACAACAACAAAATTAAATACTCATCTGAGGAAAAAATTTAAACTTACTTGGTGAAATGTTCAGTCATGTGAGATATCCCATCAAGTTTTGCTTTGCCAGTTTAAAATTAGTTATGAAATACTGATACCCAAGTATGGGCTTGTTGACAGATGACAAGCAAGGAAAAGAGGGGAAGGGAAGAATTGCCTTGTATAACACAAATACAAATATTTTGTTCTGAAATCCAGACTATAGTGGAATATATCCAGAGAATTTTAAGAAGCCTAAAGGGAGAACAACCAGACATGATAATAGTGAGAGCTCACTATAACCCTCCAAAGCAAGGGGAAAAAAAAAAATACTCGAGTAAGGCTTTACTTAGAGAAAGCAACCAAAATCTTTCAGTGCATAAGACGTGGCTGTAAGGATTTGACTATTCAGACATGCATGGCAAAAGGAACAAAATTGAACAGACTGTCCAGCAAATTCTTGAATCATTTTAATACACAATAATAGAGTAAACAGCTAGAGATTTCCACCCTCCCACACTAGCGCTTTCATAAAATAAATGACCTGGTCAGGTAAAACCATGGGGAACCAGGTAGGGCAATCTCCTCTTACAACCCCAGAAAGATTTGCAAGTCTGTGCAAAGCATACAAGAACAGTGCTTTCTGCAGATGAAAGGGAAACAAGGAAGGGCTAAGGAACTATAAGCTACACAGGGCTAGATTTAATTTCTGGAGAAAATAGCAGCAGTGGCTGTAAAGACCTAGGAGGTACAATGCAGCAGCAGCTCCACTAAAAGGCTTCTCCTGGCAGGTAGAGGGTTGGGGCAGATCCACAAGAAGGATACCAGCAACATCAGGAGAGGTAGATGACAATCCACAGCCAAGTGAGGAAGGGGCAGACCAGGTTGGCAAGCAAAGGGTACAGAGTGATGCAGGGAAGAGAGGCCTCATAAACAAAAAAAAAGAGCTAACCAGGACCCCACTTCAAACGTAAGCACATATATAAAGCGCTGCCTGCAGGACAGCATGATGGGGGAAGCTCTAGCAAATCAGCATGACTGGGTGCCTCTGTGAAGTGCCCATACACCAACAAACATGCAGCATGGCAAACAAGCAGGAGGAGTTAGTACATGCAGTTGCAGGGCTATGATCTCAATGGGATCACTGAGAAAACAGCATAGCTCACATGACCAGACTACTACCATGGCTGGATATGTGCTCTTTAAGGACAGTCTGGGATGGTGAGGAAGGAAAGCTGCCCTTTATTTGGGAGAGCAGCAGGGATGCATGGAGCTCTACCCTGCAATGGACGATGAACACCTGAGAGCTTATAGGTCATGGATAATAGGGCAGACCGACATGGGTGACATTGTGGCAGGTGTCTGCTACTCATCACCTGATCAAGATGAAATATGTGAGACCTTGTTCATACAACTAAAGAAGCCTCACATTTACAGGCACCTGGTCCTCACATAGAACACGAACTACCCTATTATCTCCTGGAAAGGCAACACAACAGGGAATGAGCAACCCAGAAGGTTTTTGGAGTGCACTGATTATAACTTCCTGAAAGAGGTTACTGAGGAGCCAACAAGGGCAAGCACTCTGCTGAACATCATAATTACAAACATGGAAAAACTGGGCAGCGATGCGAAGGTCAGGGCAGTCATAGCTGCAGTGACCATGACATAATAGAGCACAGGATCCCAAGAGGAAGGAGGATCAAGAATGTTCAAGGATGGTTCACTGGCTTTTGCAAAAATATCATCAGCAACAGGAAGACTAGGGCTCTATGGATGAATGGTGCAGAGGACCTGCTGACAGGAGATATGGAGAAGGCCGAGGTACTCACTGCCACCCTTGCTTCTGTTGTTACCAGCAAGAGCAGCCCTCAGGAATCCCAGAATTCTGAGCACAGAAAATTGCCTCCATCGCCAGGCTCAAAGGGCTGTGACCAGCGGCACAAAGCCCAGCTGGAGACCTGGCATTACTGCTGTACACCAGGGGTCAATACCTGGACCAGCATGGTTTAACATCTTCATTAATGAAGATGGGTGATGGGACAGAGCTCACCCTCAGCATATTTGCAGATAACACAAAACCAGGAGGAGAGCCTGGTACCCCACAGGGGTGCTGCCATTCACAGGGACATCAACAGGCAGGACACATGAGCCAACACACGAATCTCAGGAAGTTTAAAGGGCAACGCCAAGTCCTGGCCCTGGGGACAAACCACCCCAGGCACCAGCGCACACACAGGGGCCAGACAGCTGGAAAGCAGCTTTGCAGAAAAAGCCCTGGGCATCTTCAGGAAAAAGGGGAACGTGAGCCAGCCCACACACACCCTTGTGGCAATGATGGCCAACAGCCCCCAGATCACTAGCAGGCCAAGGGAGGTGATCCTTGGCCCTTATGAGACATTTGGAGCACTGGGCTCCCCAGCACAACAGACCCATGGACATACTGGAGAGAGTCTGGGAAAGGGCCACAAAGCTGATGGACAAACTGGAGCATCTCTCATATAAGGAGAGGCTGAGAGAGCCAGGACTGTTAAACCTGGAAAAGAGATGCTCACAGGGATTTTATGAATGTAGATAACTACCTGAGGGGAAGGGAATAAAGAAGATGAGGTCAGGCTCTTCTTATTGGTGTCCTGTCATAGGACAAGAGGCAACAGGCACAAACTGAAATACACTAGAAAAGGGTTTAAATGTAATTTCATGTAAGGGTTATTGAACACTGCAACAGGTTGACCAGAGTGGCTGAAGTCTCCATCCTTGGAGAAATTCAAAACCCAGTTGGACAAGATCCTGAGCAACCTGTCCAGTTTTCACTCCTTTGAGCAAAGGAGTTTGGACTTGATGATCTCCAGAGGTCCATTCAAACCTCATCCATTCTGTTATCCTGTATTAACAAAGAAATAGGAAGGATTGTCATGAAGAAAACTCATCTAGCTAAATACGAACTCTTTCTGACCAGCACTGATGGTCTCTAAAGGTATAATGACAGCAATATGGATAGCAGCCTCTGAATGGTACAGGTTGTGTGTCAAACCCTGCTGTCAAGTGAGGCTTTTAAGAATAATAGTGTGTGCTAACAAACACAAAGGCTAGTTCTACTACAATTATGGAAGCAACGACCTCATCAGTTCCTACAGAATCACACAATCTACTTGCCCTACTTTCATTCCTGTGAAGGCAGACTAAGGCTTTTGCAATGTCTCATGCTTCAGCAGAGTTGACAATAGTAACCACTCCCTACTGAGCCCCATTAATAGCACAAATGCCTGTGCTAATACTGACTGTTGAAAGCAAGAAACCCATGATTTAGAAGTGTCCAGAGGAGTCATGGATACCACATCTATTGAAGAGATGCATTTTTTTTCCCCACCTATTTCTACTGATACTTCAAGCATTATTTTCAGATTAAAGGCTCTCAGGGAACACAGGATTCATTTGAACAGTAAAAACAATAAGAGCATCCTTGGCTGGCATTACCCATTGGACTAAGGACAATACTTCAAGCTTTTATGACTGTATATTTGAAGGCAAGTCTTTTTTTGGCAAAAGCATGAACTTTTGAAATTAAATCTATAAAAAGCTGAACTAAAAGAAACAGGACAGTTTTCACTGATTGGGTCTTTGATTTTTAAAGTAGCAGAGGCATTCCACTAAGAGTTAAGGCAGTTGAGATACACAGAAGATAGACTATCCTTACTTTACCTCCATGCATTAAAAATGCAAATACCCTTCTGAATACACTGTTTAACCTCAAGCACATATGCATTCACAGCAATACACATTTGAGTGTCACAAATAAGAAATCCAATTTGTAATTATTTTCATTGAAGACAAAGATTAAGATTATCTGTTAGACTGATCTCTCCCTAGAAGGAAAAAAGCCTCAATTTCACGTATCAGGTGTATGGGGTCTACTAAAACAGGCACACAACCTACTGTTTTGCTGAGGATTGCCAAATTTTGTGTAGTTAAATAATAGATCAAGTTGGACTGCAACAAGGTATGGACAGGGTCAGCAAACCCAAAACTGTTCTAAAGGAAGGATTAACAAATTTCAGTTAACAATACAATTTTTTCTGAAGCCCACAGAATGTTTACAAAAAGTAACTCTAAAATCGATTTTTTAACACAAAGTAGGCCAAAATAAGGCCTAACTTATAGCATCTGTTAACCTTTTACAGAAA